AAAACTAGACGAGAAGCAGTTAATCTCTCGTCAACCATCAAACAGGAAAGACTGGCATGCATGTTGTTGATGTTAGTTCTGTATGTGCAGTGAAGGGCAAGGCATTCTGCTCTGCTTTGAGCCAGCTGCAACTTCGCTCGGTCTTTCTTTGCTGCACAGATCACCGGACAGTGATCAAGATGGGACAAGACCATCTTGATTTGTGTCAAAAACGCAGAACATATTTTTACAACAGACATACTCCTCCCAATCTTCACAACAACTTTATCAATATGACTTGACCATGATAATTGACCATCCAATGTTATACCTAGGAGTTTAGCTTCCTCAACTTGCTCAATGGTCACACCCTAATGTCTCATGAATAAACCACACGGTCTCACCATTTCTAAAACTTTTGAAAGACATAGTCATTGTACCAATTCCAATCAAGTCAGAGTTGTATTCCAGGCCAAACAGAATTATATTACTTATTAAAATCTCCTCTGTTGAGGGTGCAAATTGAATATTGAATGAATTATGTCATACAGTGAAAACGTACTAGGGAATTTCCTATTCTGACGGTTATCTGTGAGGCATTGTCCACCTACCTAATCAACTACAATGGCAATCATTGATCTGTCAGAGAAGCCTAATGCCAAATATATTATCTCTTAACAGAAGATACAAAGATCTCTATCTGGAGAATTATGTAGCTTCTAGTAGTCTGGAAGAGATACATGGGTAATATTTATCATTGTTGCACAGATCATTTACCATGGGAGAGTCTGGTCAGTTACACTGTCCATCCATCCTTACAATAACACACTCTCAATCAAAGGTTCTTCATTTCAACCTGTCCATCAACTTGGCACTGGTTACTTTTTTATTTGATCAGAAAAACAAATTGGAAACAAAAACAGTCAACTTGTTAAGTGCTATTATATATGTGTGTGATTATTTAACGGTGCCATTTGCAGGCAACAACAAAAGGAGTTAAACAAAAGAAGAGAAAGAAATAGTATCAGATGCAAATGTATCAGTAATTCTATCCAGATAAACAAGACACAACAAGACTTCTTTCTCTCCACCATCGAGCACAAACACGTCATCTAGTCTTGCCATACCTCCAAAATCACGTCGTTGTCGCGCCTCCCGTTTTAGGGAAGCCTGGTTCAATACCTGTCCTCTTGCTCACTGACACACTTTCTCAAAGACATTTGTGTACTAACAGTTTTAATAAGATGCTACATTTTCCATAGACACCCCGCACATTGTTGTTTCCCACAATGTAAACATTGCATCAAATATGGCTCTTTGATTGATGTTGCAGAAATTACAGGTTTCACCCACAAATCAACAAGAGGGTTTTACAGTTTGGTTGATTTTAAATGGAATTCATGTTTGCTGACAACAACAAATCAAATATTAATACACATTTGAAATATTTGCCCAGTGTGCTGTCTGTATAAACCTTTTTTTAACCAAAGTAAGAATGATTTATATTTTCCTTCACTTTCTAAATATCTGCTATACTGGAAAAGAGGTTGGAGAGTTGATTTAGGAGTAATATAAAAAAGTCCTACGTACTGTATAAGCTCCCAACTGTGCCATACAAAACACAACTTGTAGACAACCTGCACCCAAAAGCTGTTCAGTCAACATCCTGACCCATAACATCCCCCTGAATAGAGGTGACTGCTTCCTAAATCAAGTCAACTTTGTTCAACAAGAGGCTAATATAAAATCTTAAAACCACCCTACTACTGATGACCCTCATCTGGATCAACCCTGTAATACAAAGGAATGGAAAAGCAAAGCTAAAGTGATCACAAGGTAAAACACCACAAAATAGATGAAAAGGTGGCTGATAATATGACCTTATATTGGCACCTTTTGGTCATGTTTATTTTACAGTCAAGTGGGAATACTTTAATTGAAAGCGGAAAGGATAGGGTGGCATTCAATAATATACTAATGTGCAGCAAGATAATAAAACCAAAAGACATACAATCAAACAGGAGAGACAGATAGGCAGTCAGTCACAGCAGAGAGTATTTGTATGCAGACATCCAAACAGTACCTAATAAGAGTTGCATTGCAACGTCATTACATAGTTGCGTTACATAGCAATCTACAGCCACTAAAAACAATCTTCTCAGTTAAAAATGTGAGGGGATTCAAGACTGAACATCCCCAGTTGACCATGTGGTTTATAAGACTAGACCACTGGTTTAGATCCTGGATTAGTGGGACCATGCTGTACCTATGCTTGGTGTTTACCTCTCAGGGAACCAGGTCTCACATACCACTTTCTGTTCATCCTGTACTAAAATGGTATCACTCATTATTTTTTACACAAAGGCTCCAGGACCCCACAGAGGAGAAGTGGCACTATAAAGCCAGTCTTGCATGAATCATTACAGTACATTACATTACATTAGAGGTCTATTAACCAAGGAGGAGACACTTTAATTCCACTAGCCAACCCAATAGCACTCTTCTCTGAGCCCCATCCTAATCCAGTGGTCATGCTGCCACTTAGGACCTGGGCTCAAGCACATTCAATACATGCCAATCCTTCTCATCCTCAAGTCTCTTCTACGTGCAAACTTCTCTCTTATCCTCTCCACTACTAGACCTCCTTGGCTTGTAGGACATGCGTCACCTTTTAGTGCTCTCTATAAATTCACTTTAAGGGAAACAAAATGTGACATTTACATGCTGCTCTGCTTCTAAAATGGTGGGTAATAGACTATATACAGTTGAAGTCGGAAGTTTACATACACCTTAGCCAAATACATTTAAAAACTCAGTTTTTCACAATTCCTGACATTTAAATCCTAGTAAAAATTCCCTATCTTAGGTCAGTTAGGATCACCACTTTATTTTAAGAATGTGAAATGTCAATAATAGTAGAGAGAATGATTTATTTCAGCTTTTTATCTTTCATCACATTCCCATTGGGTCAGAAGTTTACATACACTCAATTAGTATTTGGTAGTGTTGCCTTTAAATTGTTTAACTTGGGTCAAAGGTTTTGGGTAGCCTTCCACAAGCTTCCCACAATAAGTTGGGTGAATTTTGGCCCATTCCTCCTGACAGAGCTGGTGTAACTGAGTCAGATTTGAAGGCCTCCTTGCTCGCACACGCTTTTTCAGTTCTGCCCACAAATTTTCTATAGGATTGAGGTCAGGGCTTTGTGATGGCCACTCCAATACCTTTACTTTGTTGTCCTTAAGCCATTTTGCCACAACTTTGGAAGTATGCTTGGGGTCATTGTCCATTTGGAAGACCCATTTGCGACCAAGCTTTAACTTCCTGACTGATGTCTTGAGATGTTGCTTCAATATAACCACATAATTTTCCTTCCTCATGATGCCATCTATTTTGTGAAGTGCACCAGTCCCTCCTGCAGCAAAGCACCCCCACAGCATGATGCTGCCACCCCCGTGCTTCACGGTTGGGATGGTGTTCTTCGGCTTGCAAGCGTTCCCCCTTTTTCCTCCAAACATAACGATGGTCATTATGGCCAAACAGTTATATTTTTGTTTCAACAGACCAGAGGACATTTCTCCAAAAAGTATGATCTTTGTCCCCATGTGCAGTTGCAAACCGTAGTCGGTCTTTTTTATGGCAGTTTTGGAGCAGTGGCTTTTTCCTTGTTGAGCAGCCTTTCAGGTTATGTCGATATAGGACTCGTTTTACTGTGGATATAGATACTTTTGTACCTGTTTGCTCCAGCATCTTCACAAGGTCCTTTGCTGTTGTTCTGGGATTGATTTGCACTTTTCGCACCAAAGTACGTTCATCTCTAGGAGACAGAATGCGTCTCCTTCCTGAGCGGTATGACGGTTGCGTGGTCCCATGGTGTTTATACTTGCGTACTATTGTTTGTACAGATGAATGTGGTACCTTCAGGCGTTTGGAAATTGCTCCCAAGGATGAACCAGACTTGTGGAGGTCTACAATTTATTTTCTGAGGTCTTGGCTGATTTCTTTTGATTTTCCCATTATGTCAAGCAAAGAGCCACTGAGTTTGAAGGTAGGCCTTGAAATTAATCCACAGGTACACCTCCAATTGACTCAAATGATGTAAATTAGCCTCTCTGAAGCTTCTAAAGCCATGACATCATTTTCTGGAATTTTCCAAGCTGTTTAAAGGCACAGTCAACTTAGTGTATGTAAACTTCTGACCCACTGGAATTGTGATACAGTGAATTATAAGTGAAATAATCCGTCTGTAAACAATTGCTGGAAAAATGACTTGTGTCACGCACAAAGTAGATGTCCTAACCAACTTGCCAAAACTACAGTTTGTTAACAAGAAATTTGTGGAGTGGTTGAAAAACGAGTTTTAATGACTCTAACCTAAGTGTGTGTAAACTTCTGACTTCAACTGTATACTAGTGCTTCACATCATGTGCATTTGGCTCACTTAAAAGGGTACTTAGAGTGACATAAATGAGATACTATACAGTCATGGTGTCCTCCAGGTCAGGAGAGCCCAGCTTCTCATCATAACAACCATTTCAATTAAGGTTTGAGGTACACAAGTGGGTATATTGGAATAGAAGGGGATAAATATCTACCAATGTGTGACTGGGATCAAAGTATCTGGAATAAATGGTTAACAACATTGTGTTGGAATGGTAGATCACAGCACATCAACATTTTCATTTTAAAAAATCTACATTTTTAGAGTGTGGTGTGTATATCGGTCTGGAAGTCCCTCCAACAAATGTATTTTGTACAGCAGCTGTTGTCATGGTGATTGTAACAGTTTTCAATTTAGTTCATGATGTCCAATCACATAGCTTATACTGTGATGGGAGGGAGGGTAAATGTACAGTCTGGTCCAATAAGGTAGGATTCTAGTGGATCACAGTAGATCCTTGGAGTGATCAAGGGGGAGTGGAATCCTGGGAAGGTCCCAGTTAGGAGTGATTAGACTGTGGTGTTCCAGGCTTTTTGCCCAGTGGGTGAGGCTGACTGTATCATAGGAGGGTTGACTCGGGGGTCCCTCCCCTCAAGGAGTGGTCGGCCCAGATTAGTGTGCAGGCCATTTTAAGTGGAGTGGGCAGTTGGGGAGATCCAAAGGGAGTGGTCAAAGGGGGGGGGGGGGGGGGGGGTCAAAGTTCAAGGTGCTTTCATCATGCCAGAAGTGGTGTGGAATCCAGTAGGAGTGTTAGAGCTGATACAGTTGTCCTGTTGTGAGTGGGGGTCAGATAGAGCTGGAGACCAGTGTGGTTGCATTATGGTGTCTGTATTCAGATGAAGGTGGAGTCCATGGTGCTGCTGTCGTGTATATTCCGGGCGCGAGCCTCAAACAGCTGTTTGATCAGAGCAGACTTCTCCTGCTCCAGCTGAGTGATGCGCTTACCCTTATCAGTCACCTCCTGCACCGGGACGGAGAGAGGGATGGAGAGGAGGAGTGGTGAAGGAGGGAGGGAGGGAGGGAGGGAGGACGAGAGACATGGACAGGGGAGAAGTTCGTTTTGAGTTTAAACAAGCCTTTATTGTGCAATAAAGGAGTTTACATACAGAGCTTCAATGCAGCAGGGAGAGGAGATAGGTAGAGGTTAGACGATCATATAGGGACAGTGGTGAGGTGTACAGGAAATCTGTACATTTACAATACATTGACATATGTTCAGTTTACCTGGGTGAGAAGGCGGTTCTGGTCCTTTAGTCTTTGAATGGCTTGTGGGGGGGCAGGAGGCTGGGAGCTGGAGGAGATCACTGTGGGCTGGGTGCCAGAGGATGGGAAAGACTGCTAAGAGGGAGAGAGAAAGAGATAATTCACCATTAATTACCATGTTTCAGTAAAGACTAGTGTTTAGACTTGACTATACTCTCTGTCTAAAACATAGAACAACCTCTCAACATCTAATTGCCACTGAGAGGACTCCAGTAAGAGGAAAATAAGTCACTTTACAATTACTGTGGAATTCAATTTGACCTTAGAAATTACTCAGGCATATGAGACAACCATCACCCATTTTTAGGGCAGTGAAGAGGCTCAGTTAGACACAGTCAGGTAAGGTGTCTAATTTCAAGATTCACCGTTCCAGAGCAGGAAATGAGGTCATTAAGGCAGCGGTTGACTTCCTGCAGCTTGGGAAGTAGAACATTCATACGGCTTTGATTCTGGGATTCTGTGAAGAAATCCTGGTGGGAGAGAGAAAGAGTAAGAATTGGACAGTTTCAGATAATTGATACACTGTATCATCAATTCCTACTAAATTGGATACATGCCCTGGGTCATCTTCATTAGGGCATGCAATGGAAAACAAAAAGGAGCGTTTCTTATTGAACCCCAATAGCAGTCCCTCCCTGTTTCAGTTTGTTTTTGTCTGTTTGTTGCCTAATGAACAGACCTTACCGTGCAGTGGTTGCTTTGGCCCACGTGTCTCTGTCTCTCTGTGACGTTGTGGATCTGGGTCTGGTACCACTCTCTAGACCGCTCCAACACGTCCAGACCAGCCAGCAGAGAGTCCTTCTCCTGCTCCAACTCCTTCATCTGCTTCAGCTGGAGGTAGGAGGGAAAGCGAGTCAACATCTCTCTTACTGTCATCGTCAACATGGTCACTTACCTGAAGTAATTTGGTGAACCTGTATTCTTGCTGCTTGCTCTTCAAGCTTATACTCATCCTGCGCCCCAAAAAAGCGATGAGGGAAAATGTTGAGTAAGCTTGCATGTCACATTTATGATGGTTATGTTGTTTTGAATTATTTGGAAAATCTGCACCCTTTCATTTGTACATTTGGCTGCCGCTTTTGTCCTGAGACAATGGCACCGGGCCAATCGTGCTGGAGTGGTACCCTGACCTCAAAAGGAGACACTGTTTAGAGGAGCAATCAGCCTGGCACCATGGCAACCATGCAGAGACCTAAGAATGGGTAAACAGTAGCTACTACAACAGGTCGTCCTGTCCCAGTGACAGGTAGGCAGCATTGAGTTCTGCTGACCATCCTGTCCTCCAGTGCCACAGCACAACCCAGGCCTCATTCCTGGCATTCAGCCTCCCTCTCTATACACTATCACTGTTGGGAAAACCATGTCTGTACAATGACATAATGCAATGACCAAACCAACCAGTATTGTCAAACTACTGATACTGTTGTTGTTGTTGTTGTTGTCTGAGCTGGACTGTAACTAGCCAGGGTAAACCTCTTGTGCCATCATTGCATAGTAAACATATTTCCCCTTTCAGCTCTGACCATGCTGGGTTGAATGGGAGCTGCAAACAGAGGAGAGGAGAGAGGGATGAAAGAGAGAGAGCAGAGAGAGGTAGGGGAATGGGGTGGGGTGGGGGAATGGGGTGGGGGCGTTGTGCCTGGAATGAAGCGTGACCCAGAGTGTCAGGCTGTGTGTTTGTGTGGTGGGCCACAGGAAGGGCAAATCCACTCTATAAAGAGGGGAGGGGGGAGAGAACACAGAACAGGGGGAGGAAAAGTTAGAGAGGGGAGAGGGGGGGTACGGGAGGGGGAGAGGGGAGCTGGCTGACAGAACTATCACCAGTGTGGTGATGCTAACATCACCAGGGCTGCAGGTGGCCTAGCGGTTAAGAGCGTTGGGATGTGCCCTTGAGCAAGTCACTTAACCCTAATTGCTCCTGTAAGTCGCTCTGGATAAGAGCGTCTGCTAAATGACTTGAATGTAAAAAATGTAAATGACAAAGCATACAACAACGGCATGACACAGCTGATGTTGCCTTATCTAAAAGCACAAAGTACAATATCATGGGTATTGGGCTAATCTACACAGCAGCTCCAAACAGTACAAACTACCCGCTAGGGTTAAAGCAACAACATGACAACTAGGAGTTTACAGGTTATCATCAAGACACAAACTGAAACTGGCACTGTCCACTAGCTTCAACAACACATCAACCGCAGACACAGAACTGTCAAATATTCAGCTAGTTGACAACCGGTTATCTCTCCCTGACTCTGCTCATAACTCCATAGTTACATTTTGACACAGCTCAACACACATCTGCAAGTGTGTAATAAACATACACATACATAGAAACAGCTCAATGACCAAACACTCCGTTTTTACTTCTCTTTCCTGACCTCTCTCCTGTAGTTGTTCTCACTCACCCTGAGGAAAAAGTGCAGCGCCTTGCTGCTGTACAGACTGCTGCTGAGAGGGATGAAGACAGTGGTGTAGGCTGCCCAGACAGCTGTCCAGGCTGGGCCGGGTGGGCCAAGCGAATCCCCTGCTTCCAGGCCCCTGGGCCCGACCCGGCTCATTACCATGAGGACAGGCGGCCAGAGGGGGGAGGGGGGAGCAGCTCCCTCTACGACTCCACACAAAGAAAGAGTGGAAGGAGAGGAGAAGACAGAGAGAGGGATAGAGTAGGGCTCAGAGAGAAATTAGAGGCAGGGGGATAGAACGAGAAAGCGAGAGGAGGCATGGAAAGGGGGCAGGAGATTGGGAGGGCCACAGAGGGAGAGGGGTTGGACTGAGTGAAAGGTGGGAGGGGTGTAGGGAGAGGGGTTGAATGGGGGAGTTAATGGTGGGTGTTGGCCAACAGAAACAAAGTGACCTACAGCAGTTGCAGTCTGCACAGAGCAGATAGGCCTGTTTATCCATGAAACTGTTCTCCGCTTCACCCCTACTCTAGATAAAAAGTTGAACTGACCCTTAACACGAACCCTATCACTGAACACCACTATAAGAACACTTTCCCATTGTCTGTGGATCACCAAATACCTGTTTTCACTAGCAGTGAGAACATGGTTGTTCTACTTCCTCTCTAAAAACTGTGCATAATGCAACAGTGTGTGTGTTTGTTTGTTTGTGCGCGTAAGTACCATTCCGTAATCCACCCCGTTGGTGATGGTGTGGCGTCTCTGCTCATCTCGGCTTCGCCCATGGCGTCTGGAGGCAGTGAATCCCGTGGCTGACTCACTCTGGGACCTCGGTAAACCAGCCTCCACAATACCTGGACCAGAGATTGGGCAGGAAGGGGTGGTCAGAAAGATTTTTACCTGATTTCACCAACAGACTTCCAGGTCTTGTCTGGAACACAGGTATCAACTGTCTGGTTACTACAACTATGCTTTGGGTACCCAGATAATTCATACATCAAATGAAACACAACCATTTCCTGTAAGGAAGAACAAACTTTTTTGCACTTATATAATGTTAGTATGAAATACATAGAGCTAGATGGACATGAAAGCCAGAGATGACATCAGAGCAAAGTTCTGATTTACTCTGTTGTGTTCAGCGGATCAACGGTTTCCATCTGTGATAGAACTGATCTCCCAGCCAACAATCAAAAGAGATAACATCAGACTAACACATTGTCACCAAAAACCCACCCCAAATCCTGTGTGTGTGTCAAATCAAATCAAATGTTATTTGTCATATGCTTCGTAAACAACAGGTGTAGACTAACAGTGAAATGCTTACTTACGGGCTCTTCCCAACAATGCAGAAAGACATTTTTGACAAATTACAGACAAATAACGAGGAATAAACACAACATTATTAACGATAACTTGGCTATATACATGGTGTACCAAATCGATGTGCAGGGGTAGGAGGTAATTGAGGTAGATATGTACATATAGGTATGTAGGGGTAAAATGGCTAGGCAACAGGATAGATAATAAACAGAGTAGCAGCAGCGTACAGTATGTGATGAGTGAGAAGAGTTGCTGCAAAAAGGGTAAAATGCAGATAGTCCGGGTAGCTATTTGGCTAACTATTTAGCAGTCCTATGGCTTAGGGTTAAACGTTGTTCAGGATCCTGTTGGTTCCAGACTAGGTGCATCGGTAATGCTTGCCGTGCGGTAGCAGAGAGAACAGTCTATGACTGTGTGTGTGTGTGTGTGTGTGTGCGTGAGTGAGAGAGAACACGAGAGAGAAAGAGAAAAAGGGAGAGAGGCCACTACTAAGAATAGTGAAATCTGTAAACCATGCAGTGCCTTTGGTGACCACATGAGGGCGCTAACCTTCCTCCCTGCTGTATCAACAAAGGCAAAAGGCTTCCCTATCTGGTTGGGTTGTATTAAATGGGGGGAAATTACAATTCTGAGGGGGGAGATGAGAATAAAATGTAAGACCTTATGTACAGTTCAGGTGATAGTTGATAACAGAGCAGAGAAAACATGACACCTTTCCATGTTGTATCCAGACTCCCAGAAATCCTGTTAATCTGTAACTGGATATAGTGCCTTGAGGGCAGGTGTATGTGGGGTTCAGAGAGGCCAAGGGAAATATGTAGACCATCTAGTTTAGTGGCTCTAGATAATCTTCAAGTTGGACTGTGGCACCCAAGGAGGGATACTGTTTACCAGTGTAGGTAAGCCTAATTTGCACGCCTTGAAACAGCATTGCTAATTGAAAGACGGAGCCTAATGGCCATGTTTCTCATTTTTTTGTTGTTGAAAAAATAAAAAATGAGTAACACAAGGAATAAATAGAAAAATAAACGCAAAGAATAAATCCACAATGAGTAACGATAACTTAGGGGTACTATATACAGGGGGTACCAGTACCGAGTCCATGTGCAGGGGTACGAGGTAGTTGAGTTAGATATGTACATAGGTTGGGATAAAGTGACTAGGCAACGGGATACATCATAAAAAGTAACAGCAGCGTATGTGACGAGTCAGAACATTATAGTGCAAAAAGGGTCAAAGAAGATAGTCCATGTAGCTTATTGGTTAACTATTTAGCCGTCTTATAGCTTGGGGGAAGAAGCTGATCAGGGTCCTGTTGGTTCCAGACTTGGTGCATCAGTACCACTTGCAGTGTGGTAACGGTGGCGTGGCTGGAGTCTGAGACAATTTTTAGGGCCTTCCTCTGACACCGCCTGTAATAGAGGTCCTGGATGGCAGGGAGCTCGGGCCCTACGCACTACCCTCTGTAGCGCCTTGCGTCGGATGCCAAACAGTTGCCATACTAAGCGGTGATGCAGCTACAGTTGAAGTGGGAAGTTTACATAAACCTTAGCCAAATACATTTAAACTCAGTTTTTCACAATTCCTGACATTTAATCCTAGTGAAAATTCCTTGTCTTAGGTCAGTTAGGATCACCACTTTTATTTTAAGAATGTGAAATGTCAAAATAATAGGAGAGAGAATGATTTATTTCAGCTTTTATTTATTTCATCACATTCCCAGTGGGTCTGAAGTTTACATACACTCAATTAGTATTTGGTAGCATTGCCTTTACATTGTTTAACTTGGGTCAAACATTTCAGGTAGCCTCCCACAAGCTTCCCACAATAAGTTGGGTGAATTTTGGCCCATTCCTCCTGACAGAGCTGGTGTAACTGAGTCAGGTTTGTAGGCCTCCTTGCTCACACACGCTTTTTCAATTCTGCCCACAAATGTTCTATAGGATTGAGGTCAGGGCTTTGTGATGGCCACTCCAATACCTTGACTTTGTTGTCCTTAAGCCATTTTGCCACAACTTTGGAAGTATGCTTGGGGTCATTGTCCATTTGGAAGACCCATTTGCGACCAAGCTTTAACTTCCTGACTGATGTCTTGAGATGTTGCTTCAATATATCCACATAATCTTCCTTCCTCATAATGCCATCTATTTTGTGAAGTGCACCAGTCCTTCCTGCAGCAAAGCACCCCCACAGCATGATGCTGCCACCCCGTGTTTCACTGCTGGGATGGTGTTCTTCGGCTTGCAAGCGTTCCCCTTTTTCCTCCAAACATAACGATGGTCATTATGGCCAAACAGTTCTATTTTTGTTTCATCAAACCAGCGGAACATTTCTCCAAAAAGTACGATCTTTGTCCCCATGTGCAGTTGCAAACCGTAGTCTGAAATTGGCAATGCTACCAAATACTATTTGAGTGTATATAAACTTCTGACCCACTGGGAATGTGATGAAAGAAATAAAAGCTGAAATAAATCACTCTACTATTATTCTGACATTTCACATTCTTAAAATAAAAGTGGTGATCCTAACTGACCTAAGACTGGGAATTTTTACTAGGATTAAATGTCAGGAATTGTGAAAAACTGAGTTTAAATGTATTTGGCTAAGATGTATGTAAACTTCCGACTTCAACTGTATGTACGGTCACTGTGGGGACAAAGTCGTCGATGCACTTATTAATGAAGCCAGTGACTGATGTGGTAAACTCCTCAATGCCAACGGATGAATGCCGGAACATATTCCAGTCTGTGCTAGCAAAACAGTCCTGCAGCTTAGCATCTGCTTCATCGGATCACTTCCGTATTGAGCACGTCACTGGTACTTCCTGTTTGAGTTTTGGCTTTTAAGCAGGAATCAGAAGGATAGAGTTATGGTCAGATTTGCCAAATGGAGGGCGAGGGAGAGCTTTGTATGAGTCTGTGTGTGTGGAATAAATGTGATCCAGAGTTTTTTTTGCCTCTAGTTGCACAGGTGACATGCTGGTAGAAATTAGGTTAAACGGATTTCAGTTTTCCTGCATTAAAAAGTCACCGGCCACTAGGAGCGCCGCCACTGGGAGAGCATTTTCTGGTTTGCTTATGGCCCTATCCAGCTCGTTGAGTGTGGTCTTAGTGCCAGCATCGGTTTGAGGTGGTAAATAGACTACTACAAAAAATATAGATGAAAACTCTCTTGGGAAATAATGTGGTTTACAGCTTATGAGGTATTCTAACTCAGGCGAGCCGAACCTCGAGGCTTCCTTAATATTAGATATTGCGCACAAGTTGTTGTTAACAAAGAGACACACACCCCTTCATCTGTGCTTCCCTGAATGGTCTCTGGCTTCAGAGACTGTTTTTCCCTTAGGGGAGTTGTTCCTCACGCCTCACGGGTCATTTGCAGTCAGATGGGTCGGAAAAGCAAGCTCTGACAAGCTCGCGCTCTCTCTCTCTGTCCAACCACTTCCACACAGCCTCCCCTGCCTGTGTGGCTGCCTACAGCTCACTGCTCAGATACACAGAGATAGAACAGCAGGCACTGCAGCCATAAACAATTCTCAATATTTCCTAATCTTTTTTCAGTGTTTAGAGCATTGTATGGCATGGATTTCATATCACCCCCACAGTGATGTTGTCCAGAAGCTGCCGTTAAAAGTGTGGGAAATATTTGACAGATGATCCAGTAAAGTGATACTTGTTATTATGCCTTTATGTCAGCATAACTCTGGCAGGGTACTAAAGCATTGGGGTCAGTAGCTCTGTCCACAGTCCAGCTCCAGCCACTGGCCCATTACCCTGCTCCAATACCACATCAGCCTCTTCACATTACCCTGCGCCAATACCACATCAGCCTCTTCACATTACCCTGCTCCAATACCACATCAGCCTCTTCACATTACCCTGCGCCAATACCACATCAGCCTCTTCACATTACCCTGCGCCAATACCACATCAGCCTCTTCACATTACCCTGCGCCAATACCACATCAGCCTCTTCACATTACCCTGCTCCAATACCACATCAGCCTCTTCACATTACCCTGCTCCAATACCACATCAGCCTCTTCACATTACCCTGCTCCAATACCACATCAGCCTCTTCACATTACCCTGCTCCAATACCACATCAGCCTCTTCAATGAGTTCGAGAGCCGGGCAGACTTGACCTCTCTCCATGGTTTTGGACATCCCCCAAGAGGCTGTATCACAAATGGCACTCTATTCCCCATATAGTGCACTACTTTTGACCAGGGCGCAGCGAGAGAAGAGAGAGCAGGGTAATGGTCGCTTGGCCAGGGGTGGGCAGGATTTAACCGCTGCCGTGCCTCAATTGCTCCGCACGTAATCTGTGCTAATCCAGCGGGTTTGCTGGGGGAGATTACATTGCCATTCACCACACTCTCCAATCCCATGGCGCTACATGGTAGAGTGTGTCTGATGTAAGTAGCTAGCCAGGGCCTCCAGGCTGCTTCACGGACATGGACACGTCACCGTTATAGCTCCAGACAGTCCCAGTTATAGATACAGACAGGCTCGGACTCAGCAGGGCCATTAGAGAGCGAGAGAGTTCCTGTGTGCACATGGGAGAGAGAGAGAGCAGGATTTTCTCCATAGCTTTCCCGACTTCAGTGAACACAGGTCAGTCTAATGAGGGAGACCAGGACAGGACCAGGAAAAGTTGAGCTGATGATCCCAATAGGAGGAGCCCAGACCCCAGTCTAAACTCTGGCTAAGTATCCAGAGGAATTTGAGACATGATCTGTGACTCACTCTGGATGAGTTGGAGGTCAATTATTCAATTACACTGAAGCGGAGAGATTTGAGAGGCAAACCAGGGCTTTGAAATAACGATAACAAAATCACGTTAGCTGAGCTCCTCCATTAGTAAAAACCCAGAGAGTGTGGAAGGATTGACCCCTAGTTGTGGCCCCTAGCTGTGGGCTCTGTTTTAATGTGGCCATTCGGCAACAAATCAAATAATTGTATTTGTCACATGCGCCGAATACAACAGGTGTAGACTTTAACCTGAAATGCTTACTTACTAGGCCTTTCCCAACGATACAGAGTTCAAAATAAAAATAATAACACAAGAGGAATAAAATGCACAAGAATGGAGCTATATACAGGGAGTACCAGTACCAGATCAAAGTCCAGGGGTATGAGGTATTTGAGGTAGATATGTACATGAAGGCAGGGTTAAGTGACTAGGCATCAGGATAGATAATAATAAAGAGTAAAATAAGAACAGAGTAGCAGCAGCATATATGATTTGTGAAAGTGTGTGTATGTGTGTGTTCTGTGTGTGTGTGCGTATGTAGTGTATGTGTATATGTGCATGTGTGTGAGTGAGAGTGTCAGTGTGTGAGAGTGTGGGTAGAGTATTGTGAGTGTGTATGGAGTCAATGCAGAATTGGGTCGATGCAGATAGTCCGGGTAACCATTTTATTAACTATATAGCAGTCTTATGGCTTGGGGATAGAAGTTGTCTCGGAGCATGTTGGTCAGAGACCCGATGCTCCGGTAAAACATGCCGCACGGAAGCAAAGAGAAAAGTCTATGGCTTGGGTGGCTAAAGTATTTGGCAATTTTTTCGGGCCTTCCTCTGACACCGCCTGATATAGAGATCTTGAATGTCAGGGAGCTCGGCCGCTCTACCCTCTATAGCGGTTAAGGGCGGTGCGGTTGCCATAGCAGACCTATCGTACTCAGCACGCAGTGGTTCCAGAGGTTCCAGGGTTAGAAGATTTACAGCAGTGGTGTGGCTGTTCTTATCACCTCCACAGAGAGGGAGAGAACAAACACAGTCACATTCTTAGAGAGAACTGTCGATAAACACAGACACTAGCAGCATGTGTGTAGTGAAGGGTTAGGTTTGGTAGCAATGACAAGCTGAGAGTGGTGGGCACATTCAGAATAATAGAGAGGATGTGATTTCAGACCATCCACTGCTAGAAATCAATTAGCCTCTTGTACAGTACTTGTCCTGTTCAAACCACAGCCTGCCTGGAATGCAGGAACTCTTATGGATGATTGAGGCAGAAATTAGACTGCATGGGACTGTAGTGTCAACAGCAGCTCAGAGGGCAGCTGACAGTTAGTCTGATGCTAAACGTGTTGTAACCTGGTGCTAGTGCTGCAGTAGTGATGACAGTCTGGTATAGAAATGGGTGTAATGGGTGTGTTTTCATACTCCTCTACCTCCACACCTGGGTCAATGAGACTGAGGCAGCAGAATAGCCCTGACCTGTTTATTAACTGAGGACCATTACTCGAGTGAAATGAGTCTTCCCTGATCGCTTAGCATAGTGAGAAACAAAATACATACACATGGGGGGAGCAAGAGACAGATGATGGAAGACTGGTCCTGATCTTATTGATCTTTGATAATCAATCAAGAGTGACATTCAAACTTACTTGGTTTTTGGAGGCTTGGTGACTCGAGAGCAAGGGACTCTATGGACCTCACCCGACTCTGCTGTCGATGCGCCTGCTTCCCCAACCAAACCGAATCAGCTCGATATGAACCGCTTTCGGGCACAATGGTTATCCGTTCCAAACTTCTGCCTGTTCTCTCATAACACGCATTGGTGTAGCGCATGGGACCACCTACGACAGAGGTGACTGGTGGGTATGCAGTGTTCCCCTCTTCATGTCTGGACCGACTCTGAAGTGAGGACGCGCGGTTGTGATGCGTATTGGTCCCGTTGCTTGGACCCAGTGGACGAACTTTGTTTTCAATCCGAGTTCCGACAGAGCAAGTAGAGAGCGGGGCAGGTTTTTGCGCTGGCAGATGGTGCTGTTTGGAGTGCAGGAGTGCTTGTTTCGGGTGCAGTGAAGCCTGAGCCTTTATGTGGCTATTGTTGTCCGGGTTCAACATGGAGTGTCGCAGTCCCGCCACGAAGCGCTCAAATGTCAGGCAACCATGCCGTGGGGCCACCCGCCTCAGGCACTCCATAACCCCGCCAGGCAAATCATGAGTATCTGCCCCTTGCCATCTACTCTCAATCTCTGATATGTGCACATACCCTCTCTTCCCATCATCAAGGATGTCAAAGATTGTCCTCAAACTGTGTAAAAACGCTTTGGGTAACCCATCTGTTGAATATTCCGTGTCTTTGGGCTGCATTTTACCGGTTCTGCTTGCCTTGCCTTGTATTGTGCCAATCCTACCGTAAATTGTCGACGACCCGTTCAACTTGCAGCTACGATCAGTATCAGTTGCGATCAAAGCCATGAAGTTATCAATCGTTGAACTGAATAATGACGAAATCAAACCTCACCAAAATATATCTTATAACGTCGTTTTAACCAACGTCTTATTACTTTACGCGATACAAAAATAAACTGGTTTATAAGTAGCCTACCCTACCTGTCTTTATAGAGTATATTTCTCCAAAATAGATTAGAAATTCAACCAGCATTTCCTTGTGCCTTCGCTTGACGAAAGTATCTGCTTTCCTTCCCCAGTCCTGCCGCTCTAAGATACTTTTTTTCAACAGGACCGCCCTTCAAACATCTGTGCAGATTTGTCCGGGGACGCAGCCATTGGTCATGGCCAGAATTGCCGTGAGCTTATTGGTTGGAGCTTGTGGAAGGCAGAAGTTTGAGTTGTGTTTTTGTTATTCATAAAGCCGGACGTTATTCACCCTGGAATTCATACCCTACCCGCAGGATTTTTTTTTGTGATGAAATATGTTTCTTTACCCTACATATGGGTTTTATTGTTAAAAAAACAGAGGCAGTCTTTTTCCAGGATGTTTATTATAATGTTTATACATAGTAGCAGGCTTATGATACATTGAGTGATACAATGTGTAGCCTCCATTGTATAACATTGTATCACAGAGCTACATTCCATTGAAAATGTTTTTAACTGACTGCCACTTATCTTTCAGAATGTACAACATAAAGCTTTGTAGGCTTCATATTACCAAAAATATCCTAAAAGATCTTAAGAAAAAGGGTTCTTAAAACACAAGTCAGAGAAATCTCCTCTTTCCTCCATTTAGCCTAGATAAATAATCTGAATTGATGAGAAGAGCAGTCGCTTCTAGTCCAACTTTATCCTAAAGCCTCGCTTGCTCAGACTTGAATTCTTATCTCATCCCTTGAGCGAAACTTTTAAATTGATGTCATTTAGTTTCACTGTCACAGGGCATGCTGCAATATATATATCATAGGCTATACATTTATGATCTATAAAAGAATATCCTGGCAAACTTATTTTTTCTACTCCCCCCCACCCCTCACAGTAAACACAGCATTATTGCAAACATATTGATTGTTGGAACAGAATCACTAAATGTCTGAGGGTAAGATCAAATTGATTGTCATAGTAACGGACCTGACAACTGCACACTGTAGAGAGTCCTACACACATACAGTGGCTTTGGTCATTCATGGAGGGAATTATCCTAACAGCCCCTTTGGCTACTCCACCAGGGTCAGCTCTCCTATTTAAACTCAGCAAAAAAAGAGATGTCCCTTTTCAGGACCCTGTCTTTCAAAGATAATTTGTAGAAATCCAAATAACTTCACAGATCTTCATTGTAAAGGGTTTAAACACTGTTTCCCATGCTTGTTCAATGAACCATAAACAATTAATGAACATACACTTTTGGAACGGTCGTTAAGACACTAACAGCTTAAAGACGGTAGGCAATTAAGGTCACAGTTATGAAAATTTAGGACACTAAAGAGACCTTTCTACTGACTCTGAACACCCAAAGAAAGATGCACCGTTCCCTGCTCATCTGCGTGAACGTGCCTTAGGCATGCTGCAAGGAGGCATGAGGACTGCAGATGTGGCCAGGGCAATAAATTGAAATGTCCGTACTGTCAGACGCCTAAGACAGCGCTACAGGGAGACAGGACGGACAGCTGATCGTCCTTGCAGTGGCAGACCACTTGTAACAACACCTGCAAAGGATCGGTACATCCGAACATCACACCTGCGGGACAGGTACAGGATGGCAACAACAACTGCCCGAGTTACACCAGGAACGCACAATCCCTCCATCAGTGCTCAGACAGGCTTGTTGTAAGGCAGGTCCTCACTAGACATCACCGGCAACAACGTCGTCTATGGGCACAAACCCACCGTCGCTGGACCAGACAGGACTGGCAAAAAGTGCTCTTCACTGACGAGTCGCAGTTTTGTCTCACCAGGGCTGATGGTCGGATTCGCGTTTATCGTCGAAGGAATGAGTGTTACACCGAGGCCTGTACTCTGGAGCGGGATCAATTTGGAGGTGGAGAGTCCGTCATGGTCTGGGGCGGTGTGTCACAGCATCATCGGACTGAGCTTGTTGTCATTGCAGGCAATCTCAACGCTGTGCGTTACAGGGAAGACATCCTCCTCCCTCATGTGGTACCCTTCCTGCAGGCTCATCATGACATGACCCTCTAGCATGACATTGCCACCAGCCATACTGCTCGTTCTGTGCGTGATTTCCTGCAAGACAGGAATGTCAGTGTTCTGCCATGGCCAGCGAAGAGCCCGGATCTCAATCCCATTGAGCACGTCTGGGACCTGTTGGATCAGAGGGTGAGGGCTAGGGCCATTCCCCCCAGAAATGTCCAGGAACTTACAGGTGCCTTGGTAGAAGAGTGGGGTAACATCTCACAGCAAGAACAGGCAAATATGGTGCAGTCCATGAGGAGGAGATGCACTGCAGTACTTAATGCAGCTGGTGGCCACACCAGATACTGACTGTTAATTTTGATTTTGACCCAAAATTATATAGCCTAATTAGCCGACTCCCTTCTATACAGAAATAAGTAAAATCCTTCAAATAGGCAACTAAAGCATGATCGTGCCACAGAGGATCATTAGCTTCTTTTTAAAAATCAAGTTGTGGTTTGTTTTTAGTACTGAGCGATTAACAGACATGTCGAGGGGGGTTTCGGTTAGTGACTATTAAACAACTAATTGACCAATGTCGGTTCAGTTAGGCTACTTAAATTCCATTTAGTTCGGTTTTTTCTAAGCCCAACGCGCCATTTCTCTAGAGAAATTGTATAATTCATGAGCAAAATCAAGTGAAAAACTATGTGAGACGCTGGGCTGAAGGGAGTTGTAGTTTTCACCTGGTTCCGCACAGAAACGTGCCAATTAACTACAATGACCATAATCCATTGCGCCTGTTTTCTCGACTCAGAGATGGATACACTTTACGCCCGCTACGTTAGGTTAGATACACACAGACCGCATGAGAGAGTAATGTACACAACACAACGACGAGAGAGGGGGATAGAGACAGTGCGTGAAAGTACGCCTTATCTACTTTGAAGAATTAGCAAAATCATTTCGTCAGACAGCTCTGCAGCATGCTTAGGCTGGTTATCCTTGCTAAATCGGATGACTAAAGACATAGTATGGGGAGCACAGAGATAACGTTGTCTGGCTGAGCAGAGATTAGATTATAAAAGATTAATAAAGTAATCCAATCAAAACTAAGTAATATACCCAACTTAAATATTTTATTATTTCATAGTAATTTCCTTTTTTTATTTTTTGGGGGACTTCAACCCAATGTGGACCTAACAGAGACAATGGAATATTTGCAATGTTTTGGCAATTGAATGTTCACTGTTTTTGGCTTTGGAATTTATATTTAAATGGTCTAAAATCATGTTTTAAAAAAAATATCGAAACCTAAAAAGAAAACGGATTATTTTTTAATAATCGAACCGAAACCGTACCGACCTCAAAAAGCAGTAATTGTCCAGCACTAATTGTTTTAAATCGCATTGCCTACAGTCAGAAAGAAAGGCAGCGCGTGAAATTTGGGCAGCACGTGTTGCCGAAAGACTCTAATCTGTCTTTTAGTTATCACAATTCTCAACTTTATTGACCGAACAACAGTATAACCTATTTTATTGGCACCAGCGGAGAGCATCGGCCTTATCTCCGGCGAGTGCGCACTGTGCATATATTCACTATCATTGCTGGGTCAGTGCCACTTAAAAGTTAGTTTTTTGACAATTTCCTCCTCTAGTTAATCAAATCAAATCTAATTTTATTGGTCACATACACATATTTAGCAGATGTTATTGCGGCTGTAGCGAAATGCTTAGATGGACATCATATTATATTTGTGTCTCTCTTTCGCTTAGGCCTATTATATGGACAATGTTGTTTTTATTTATCTGTTTGTCAGTGTCAGCAGAGTAGGCTACCCTGTAATTTGTCGTATTACATAAGATGCTGCTAATGTCTCCAGTCATATAAAGTGTATTCAGTGGCGACCCTCCCGGGGAACCTTGTTCCAGAGCTCAGACTTTCCAACTTGAAGATCACTGACGTCATCATTTGACCTAGTTTTTTTCCCGAGTTCCCAGTTGTCTTGAAAGCAACATTACAGCGAAAATGGCTTGCTTCTAGATACCGACGCAACATTTGTATCTTCCTATTACGGATCTCCGGGACCGCATTTTACATTCATAACCATGTCGTGGGGCGTTCTAAAACTAGGCGCGCGTCGTTAACCATTTGTTTACACTTTGTTCAGTCATGTTACCTCATTGGCTAGTTAGCTAACAACTTGTTAACTTTACCAGTATATCCAAACATTTGGTGGCACAGAAAGAAAGGAAAAGCAATAGCTTCTTCAGTAGATAAGTGACATAGCAATGAATGAATGACAGATCTCTTGCGTGTTGTCAACACAAATCTGACTTTTCTAAAGAGATAGTGTACAATTTTCAATGTAATGCATCTCATCTCAATCATAGACATTAAAACCAGGCGAATCTCAATAGGTAAATAGTGCTTTTACACAATGTAAAAAGCCTAATATTCCACAAATGACTTTGTAATTTCAATGACAGGTATTCATATCACCATTTTAGCTTTTATAATAAACTAATGTAGACTATTTACAGTGTTACATTTAGTTTCTAGGGCACATCGTGCTTCAAAAGTAGTTAGAATTCATATAGGTTGTATCTTCTTTTTTTTTTCTATCACCAGTGCTACCAATTAAAATGTTTAATTTAGAGCCCTGCATACACAGCCACAGTCACACAAACACACGCTCACAGCAGTGCCCACAGATCGTGAGTGGAAGCTAAACCATCTGTGGGCTGATCCCTGGTATTGTTTATCTTACTTATTAGAACCATACTTTTCCTCACCCCACTGGCCACCCATCCCCAGGCATGCACACACACACACACACACCATATCTTTTTTTCACTCTGTGCCTTGCTTGCTCTCTGTATTTCTGTATCTCCCTTCAGCAATATCACTGCATGTGGCAAACGATTTGAGAGCTGGGTCACTGCATTATTCTATTTTGGGAAGTGCTTCAAATCATAAAGGCTTTTAATCAAAGCTTAGTTACAGTGGAAGACAGAGAGGAAGTGGAAGTGAATTTAGGCCATGGAGACTAAAGGACAGAACAGATAGTGTCAAGTCTTTCATTTAGCCTTCAGTTATGAATCGACTGAATGTCTCATCAAATTAAACCAATCCTGGATGAGTTTCGTCCATGCCA